ATCTGGAATTTCAGAAATGAGCTAAAGCTGCAGAAACTGTCCGAAACCATGACATGGTGAATACATACCGAAAAGGAGCTAAGCCTCTGAGGTAAGCATGTATGCTGTTAGTGAATTTGGTCTGAATTTGAGTATACGTCTGCCTGAAGGCAATCATGTTCCGTCTGAATTTATCAACTCCAGTGAATTTTAGCAAATCATAGACCAAAAGATGCTTTATAGCAAACAAGAGTAAGGAATTATTACAAACTCACTGTCACCTTCTGGGGAGACTTGCCTGAAATCAGATATGGGTCTAGATCTAGGCAAGAACACAAATAAGTGCTCTTTCTGCTCAAGCCTAAGGAAATCAAGAATAGACATTCCTAACATTGTACAGAACTTAAATCATACTTTATAGAAATGATTGGACCTCCTGATTGTTACAAACACTTGATATCAAATTCAGTTTTGTGAACTTTGCTATCAAATTCAGGAAAGCTTTGTGAAAGCATATCCTGCAAGCAGAAGAAGGCTATTTAGGCAGAAGCCTGTAGCCTTCAGAGCTACTGACCGTCTTTTTTTTAAATCCACTCTCCAGTAGGAGGATTAATAAACAGCCCCACTGTGAGCTTTCTTTTTAATCCAAACAATAGCAGCTGAAAGGTCTGCCTCACTGATTTTTCTGGGAAGGCTCAGACTTCATGAACATGACAAACGTGTACATGACTGCTCACATCCTCACATCCAGAATCTGACCCTTTTTTCCATAGTTCCTGGCAGAGCCCTTCTAGCTAACTAACAGAAAACAAAAACTAGTGTTTTTTTGTTTGTTTGTTTGTTTTTTTGCTTTTTTGTTTCTCTGTTTATTTTTTGGTGAACAAATTATGCCACTGACCAACCTGGCACCTTTTCACACTTTCTTTGGTTGCGACTTACGAAGTTGCCTCAAATTTGATTTCTATTGCTATTTTCATAACCCAGGTCTCTGTTAAATAACACAAACTCCCGGAAAATTTCTGTTGTTTCATTCAATAAAGAGATTAAATGGAATAAAAAACAAAGAATGAACAACACTGCTGTTTTTCCTGTCTCTTGGTTGTTTTTGTTCACCTCTACTGACAATAAGGACTTTGAGACATGGATCTGCTCTGGAATACACACACTAAAAATCTGCTGTTCAAATCAACATGAGGATGTGTCATACCAGTTTAGCAGCCTGGGTCGGTTAACTGTCTTCCTTTCCCTCTCAAAGATAACCCATGTGAGTACTAACAAGCTATGAAAAAAATTCCTTAATCTTCTCTTGAATAAGCACACTAGACACTAACACATACATTCTAGATTTGACTTTGTTACTGTCCTCTGAAACCATCTCATTCCAAGTCCTCTTCTGAAAAAGGCACAGCAGAACTAAAGCTAACAGTTCAGTAACAAGCTGATTAATACTGTGCCCCAGATAATCTCTCGGCCTTGTCCCTATAATCAAGATAACAAAGTTTCAACTACAGCATTAAGACTGCAAACTAAGGTTCAAGTGATTAGTTACGAAAACCTCCAAAAGTTTCACGACGCCTTACATGGGGATGCCTCTGTCCATATTCTTCCTGTTTGCCAAGAGCCACTGCAACATGATGACTGTTGTCTAACCGAGTTTCCTAGGAAAGATGAAAAACAACAATGTAAATATATATACTTTGTTTCCAGCAAAGACATGGTTACAATGTGGAACCAAAATCCAAACGGACTTTAGAATAATCACATTCATGAGGAAACAGCAGATTTTCTGGAGAGATCAAGGATGTTCATACATGAACAACTTATCAGGACTGAACTGGTTACTATTGGTCACCATGATCCCACCTAACTGTAGACATTTATATGCAAGTTTATCAGCTTAGTTTTTCTTTACTCTATTTTAGTTACCTATTTTTAGATTACATTAATTGTGAATTTCTGATGAAAGATTTCTTGAAGAGCAAGTATAAACTTAAATTACTCCCTCACTTTCAGCTTCAGACATCACACAAGATCACCACTTCAAACTTCTGATGCAGCAGACTGAGCACAGGTCTGTGTTAATATAGAGCAGTTTTCTGCAAATATATACTTAATTATTAAGCTGTAAGTTGTAGCTATTAAGCTTCTCCTGCTCTGCTTCTTACCCCCCACAAAATGGGGAGCATACTTCATCTTTAAGAACTCATTTTAAAGAAGTTACTTTCAGAATAAATTGGTTTTATGTATTGCTTTTGAAGAATGATTATTCAAATTATAACTGTAAACATTATTTTTTAAATAAAAACAGAAATGTTTTCCTTTTTTATTATCCAAAAACGCTCACATTTCTGTGTGATCTTTTGGAAGTGGAAATCAAGAATAGCATTTCTTTAATTAGAAAATTGAAGCAATCGAGTGTCACCAATTCTGCAAATCAGTTTAGAAAACAGACATATCAGCTACCAGAGCGGATTCTTTTCTGAGACAGAACCTCCAATTTTTACTTGAGAAATTCCCTGACCACACCACATTATTACCAAAAGAAGGCTCTACAATGTACTTTTTCCTCAGAAGAGAGTGATTTTTTCCCTTTATTTTTTAACCTAAGAAATATGCCTTTTAAAGCAATGCTGTGAATCTGCAGTAACCTTCTCTACAGTTCCTCTACCATACAGGGTCTCCAAAGATTTCAGTTGCAAATATGCCATTCTTGTCATCTGTTTCACACAGACTGGGATTCACAAGATGCTCACTCAGGCCCCTCAACCCAGACCAGACATGACAGCTGCTGCTCTGGGTCCATGTATCAGGACAGACATAAGTTTGAGGGACCAGAGCGGCACATGTGTGCAGGCAGAGAGGTACTGGGCTGGCAGTGTACATGTCTTTACTTTGATCTCTTCAGCACCTAAATTCTGCCTATTTGACATAAATATCATTTAGCAGTGATCTTTATTGCCCTCATCTCCCTTGAAACAACAACAAAAAATTTTGGGAGTTTATGTTGGTTTATCTTGCTGCAAAGTGTTAGAAAGAAAATGACTATTTCAGTTCTGGCTATACTGGGAGAAATATTTCATACTCATGAGAAAAACAAACCTAAACTATAAGCTGTATTTCATACAGCTGCAAAAGCAATATATGTATTTACTAGGAAATATTTTAGCAAGCTTTCTATTCCTTTACTATGGAAGATTGGAAAGAAGCCAAGAAGAAGGACTTTGCCCTCAAGCTGGGTGAAAGCTAATCATTTGTACATATCATATACATTTCTAGAACTTCCTAGAGAAAAAGATTTCCTATGAAAATCTGCTGTTTGATCAACGATTGATAAACAGTATCTGCCCAAGAAAACAGTGGAGTCACAACCCCTGGCAGTGTTCAAGAAACGTGTGGATGAGGCACTTAGGGACATGGTTTAGCAGCCATTAGCCACATGGTGGGGATGGGCTTATGGTTGGACTCGATGGTCTTGAAGGTCTTTTCCAATTCCATACTGATTCTATGATTCTAATGTAGGTAGTTCTAGAGAGGCAGATTTTTGTGTTTGTCTATACTGTCAAAATCTAGATAAAGTTTTTATCACTTCATTTTCCCTCTTCTTTCATATTTTGGGTGTCCTAGAGCTGAAAGACTAAAGATATTAAGCACATGGAAGAACGAATTCAACATTGGCCTACATTTTGTAGTTAGAAATCTGAAAACAATTGTGTTAGTTTTAAACTTATGCTTATGAAATGAACATATGCCTTACATCTTGTCTGAACAACTGACTGATAAACATACTACAGATAACTTAAAAGTATTTTTGTCAGCTCAAAGTTGCATTTAACAAGTGACTCATTGGATAACCAAAACTGTTTCCCCGCAAACAGGGATGCCATCTAATAGTTACCTAATTTAGGAAGCTTTACTTCATTTGCTTTACATATTCCCTGTGCGTTAGAGGTCATAAAACAACTCTCAGGATCTTATGACAAAGAAACTGTGTCCTTCATCTTACCTTCAACTACTTCAAAGAAAATTAAGAGCCCCCTCCCCAAATATGGGAGGGTTCCTTCCTGGCCTCTGCTCTTGGCCAGCAATAACTGAGGGTATGGTGTGTAACAAATCTTAAAACTCACCTTGCTTCCATACTCATATGCAGATACTGGTACAAGAGCTAATAAATTAAATTCAACTTATTACATAGAAATAGATGATAAAACAAGAGGAGAAGGACAATTTTATTTTTTTTAATTATACTTCCCTGTAAAATAGAAAGTATGTAACAGATCTTTTTTTCCAAGCATAACCACAATGTCACTTGAGTTGCTCTAGCTGTTGGCATGTTGAGAGCTGTAGCAACCTCATTTTCCAAGGCACAGCAAAATGACATGTATTAGATTCACATCATTCTGACTCGGTCATTCCATTACTTTGTTAAATACCGAGAACAATTACTAGGTATGTTTCAAATTGACTCAGGTAATCCCACTTTGGAATACATATTCTGGAATTAATGTGTTTGGGTAGAGACAAGTGCCTACGTCTCATTAAAAAAAAAAAAAAAAAAAGCCCACAGCGATTTGCATAGCAGCAGTGATGCCAGCTTGATGCCAACTGAGTGAAGTTTAGCATAAATGAGATTGCCTAACAACCTGGCAGTATCAAAACTGACATAGGCTCCAAAGCAAAGGTGTGCCTACCTTTAAAAGGAGATCTAATAAGCGCTGTTCAACTATGCTTTCTGATCAGCTACACAAAGTTGGGAATAATAAGAAAAAGCCAGCAATACACTCTTAACATAACATTTTGCATATCAGTAATCAGGGTTTGCTCCATATATCAGATCTCCTATAAGCATATATTACGTACATACCTATATATAAATCTTGCCATAATTGTTAGTGGCAAACTTCATTTTCATTGAAATTAACAAGTACTTTATTCTATATAATTCTTTCCTTCAAAGTAGTAAATGAAGCATTCTCCTTAAAAATGAAAAAAAAAAAAGAAAAAAACTCCAAATGCTGAGATAACGTGATTTTAATGAGCTTATCTCTCTCTTTGATCATCTCCTATCACAAAGATATAAACAAATCTGAAAAATAAGACTGCCAAAGCATGACATTTTTCATTTGATAGAAAAAGTTCAAGTGAACTCAGTAAAATATACAATATTTTTCTTGTGTCTTGTACATAAGTAATGTGCAGGTGATTCTCAATGATTTTTCCCTGGTGACTCTCCTAGATTTCTCAGTTTTACTGTTTTCAGTAACAAGTCATTTCAAGAGTTTGCCCATGGGTAAATAAATAGGAATATTTCCTCTAATCAAAGAAAAATGACTTCTGTATGCAGAAAAAAATGGGGCACAAAATTAAAACAAACTTTGGAGAAAGGGAGTGTATTTATATGCACACACACATGCACACACAAAAAAGTGATGAAAAAGTAAAGCAGCAGTTAATCTTAAGCTGGAGATTGATAATTGAAAATTATTTTTTTCGATTTATTTTTAATTATTGTCAATATTTAGATTAATTTATACTCAACTGAGCTAGCATATTGATAGAACTTGATAATAAATCCCTTCTCTGAAATACTGTAACCTGTTTGGAAAGGTGTGCTGCTTAGAAGTAGAGGGTGAGCCTGAGAGGACACTTTTCTAAGAAAAATATTTAATTAAGATCCAAGGAACAAGTAGAAGCTTGTTCTACTACAAGTTACTGAGGTGTATGGAAAAATAAAATAATTATAAAGCTTTTAATAATACAGGGAACTATTTGCATCATCATCTTTTGCATCAGCATCTATTTTAGTCAACCTTTCACAGATAGGATTTTAAAGATGGAAATTAGGCATTCCAGCAGTCAACTAAGAGAGGTAGCTGCCTCCTTGACAATGATATAATATTAATGTAGAAGATATTATATTACAAGACATGTCACAATCTTTTCTAAGATTTTCATCACTAGCACATAAATCTAACTAGTAAATTTCATGACATGCTCAGTTCCTAGAGAGTACTGGCAACATAAGCAAGAAGGTTGATTTAGCATGGCTAGGATTTTAAAACAAACAGCAATCCAAATGTGCTTAGAGCTGTCCAAAGGAATAAACTATGAAGAGGTCAACTTCTGATAAATCAAATGTTATCGGTACTCTCAACCTTGTTTATTCCACACATACCATATGTATATGCATACTTTGTCTACTATAAAAATCAGGCATATACGAAAAAGTTGTCATTAAAACAAGATCTACCAGAACAGCTGTCTACAACATCATACATGTTCTCAAAATATAAACATTTTAACTGTGAGCTACACATACTGAAAATACTCTTAACTATTTTGTGCAAGAGAACTGCAAGGTTAGGTATACTTGGCATGGCAAGTCAGCTATATACCTGCTGTACTAAAATAAAGGCAGCGATAGGCACAGATTGGAACAATTTTACAAACGATTTAAAACCCCCAAAATTTTTTTTTCTCCTTTAAGTAGTTAACCAAATGTCTCCGGAGTTTAAAGAACTGTCCTCATGCCTTTCACCTTGCTTTCTTAGGGTGATTAAATAATATGTAATCATAATATCTATGAATTAATTTTCTCCACATTACCATTTTCTGACTGAGGGATAAATGTGGGTAGGTGTGTGTGTGTGTGTGTGTGTGCACGCGCACAATCAGACAGAAGACTGAGCACAAATTGGGGTCCTAGTCACACAGAAGTGAGATTTTGTATCCATCTATCCTCATGGAGAGCAGCCAAAGTACAGTATAACACAAACATGCCAAAGCATATTCAGTTCCTTGTACCTACCAGCAAGGAGAAGCAACAACAGGAACTGGAGATGCTTACTGAATTTCAAACCTTTAACATAAACCCTAACTTATGGAGAGCTTGAAAATTTCAGACACCATTCAGAAGTCAGCCATGAAACTAACTGCTTCAGTTAAATTTCCCGTGCTGCCAAGAATGAATTTCACTGAGTTCAAAAAAGAAAATTCATTGCAATTATTATTTTTGTGATCAGGTATGATGAATATTTTTTAATGCTACAGATTTTTGTTCTGTTCTGACATATGCCTTTTCTATAGGTTATACAGGATAAAGGTGAAAGTTGCAGTTAAAAATGAAATATTCAATTCAACTATAAATTTCAGATTGAGACTAGTCATTGCTGTTCAAAATCTAAAGATCTCTTACCTCAAAAGTCCATTCTTCTTCTTCATCTCCATCCAGCAGCATTTTTGTCTCCTGATATACTTTTCCTATTTCCAGTTGCAATGGAGATACATTAAATTCAATTCTTTGCAAGTTGAAGCCAATTCCAACTCCAATAGCTTTTAAGAAGCTCTCCTTTAGGGCCTGTAAAGAGCAAAAAAAAAGACGATATCTTTTAGTCATACTGACTGTTTCTAATGAAACTAATTTATTAACTTTACTACTGAACAGAGACTGAAGGACAAATGAATTTAAGAGGTACTTCTCTGTAAAAGTGAGGGCAAACTGATGTAATTATCAAGAGGAAAAAGTATCCGCATTGCCAATACCTAACTCACTGCATTATAACAAACTCGAATTACTAAAGGGCACATACAGTTAGGAACCTTCTTGCTTTGTTCTGACATGCATTTAAAACTAGTTGCGAAACCTCTATAAATGTCAGCTTAGAATATTCCATTCAAATATATTCTGACATTTAAAAGATAATCTCCACTTGATCACATAACTTCAAAAGTATACAATTTTACCATCATGAAAATAACAATACATCAAACCACCATTAGCAAGTTATAGTTCTGTAGTCTTAGAAAAAAAAAAAAAAAAGTATTACCCAGTGTCGATGAAACATATCCAGCTGCATCCATTCATTATTCATAGACTTGATTACACTCCACTCTGCCTCAGTAAACTGTCGATTCATAATGCGAAAAAAATTTGGTATTGAACTACTACCTGCAAATTAGAAGATATTTACATAAATTTTAATGGTATAATAAACAAATTACCTCATGATATTTCTCCAAGAAATAGCTCACTCTTAAGAAAAAAATATTATGAATCAACTCTGTTCTAAAATATAAACTTACACTATACGGCTTGAAAGCCATGAGCAGATACCAGTGACAATTCAGGACAAAGTGAGTCTTAAAAAAAAAAAAAAAAATCCTACAGCAGAAATACAACATAAATGTTTAAAAAATGAAAGTCAAAGATATTTCATGTTTTTCGCATTCTCAAAAAAACACAGAATTTAACCAGTGCTGACTTTATGATCACGGCCAACTATAATAAGTACCTGATTCAGTCCTCTGCACTCCACTGCTTATCTAATAACATTTTATAAAACAGCATGCTGTCTATCAGAATTCATTGAGCTGTTCTGCCTCCTGCCTTTGTGTGTTGGGGATATGAAAGAAAACTTTTTTTGTTTTTTTTAAGAGCAGGTAGCAATACAATCTCCCAAATTGATTCTATGCACAGTAAGTCATTTGGACTTAATTAACAAAAGAAATGGCAGAGAGAGATGTCCATGATCACATAAATAAAAATATTTAGAAAAACAAAACAAAAACAACAAGCAAAATCTCAGACACTTAGGTTAAATTTAAAGCTTCCCTAAGAATCAGCCCAGTGCCGTGTTTCTGCAGCAGCTCTTTAGGGGCAATTACACTTTTCACCACTGATCTCCAACTACTTTTCAGAAAATACAAATTTTTTTTTCGGTTAAACTGATCAGCTGGAAGCTGACTAACCTCACACTTGACTAACCACCTATGGCCTACACCATTAATGAGCACATCACGCAATCTGCCCAAAATCTGAAGAGAAGCAATTCCACATAACAAGAGAAATACGTTGACAGGCTGTGCAGTGCTCTTACTAAAACAGCAGCACCCACATTTGATCCAAAACAGTTCCTCCCCTTCCAACACCACAGAGTTTCCACAACTCATCACTACATTATTGCTTCATTCAGAGAGTGAGTCTGTTTCCAGATCTGTCACTGGTTCTGAGTGACCAGGGCAAATAATTTCCTTTCTTCATATCTGCATACCCCATCTTACACCAAGGATAAGGTTACTAACTCTTCTTTATAAAGTGGTTTCCTTCCACAGGTATCACTGTACTGTTAGAAAAAATGCATTGGCAGCAGTAACGAGTGATCTGAATGAATTAAGGTCACACTAAAGAACACATTTGCGCCTTCAGGCGATTTCTTTTTCCTTTCCAGATCATACTACAAAACATAATCTGACAAACTGCACACATCCTAAAACACATGGCAGTGAAGTTTTGGTGATGCCCTCAATTTCAGTTATAGATTATAGTGAAGAGAACGTCTTGAAAGAAACATTTTGCTGACAGTTGCGGCACCCAGTTAATGGCATCATCCACAACACTGAGGACGGAACTGATCTTCTGTTCAGCAGAAAGTGATGATACCAGAGAAGAAAGACAACTGTAACATCAAGAGCGTTTTGATGGATAACCTAGTAGGTGAAATATCCATCTACTTAGACACTCAACTTCCTTCAAAATAAGGGAAAAAGCATCCCACGTTGTTCACTTTGGAGGGAAGATTATTGCTGAATTCAAACAGCCCATTTTATTATTAAATAACTGCATTAACAGCTCAAACTCTCCTAAAATTCAACTGAAAGCTGTGGTTTTTTTTTTCTCTTCTCAGCTATTTTTTTTTAAAGATGGTGAGCAATGGTCTCCATACATAGTTGGAACTACAGGCCTAGAAACCTAACCTTGAAACATCCAATAATTTCCTATCAGAGCCCTGTTATTTTCTTTCAATAATCCATGGTATTCATACCACCAGAGAAGACTTCCAACACCTAGAAATGCCTCACTGCATACTCACTGAACTATCCAGTACACAAACCCATGCACCAATGCCTTTTCACTTCTTATTCTTTTTTTGTCTTCAGATTTCTTCACCTGTGCAGCTACCCTTTCTGATATGCTCTTAACGTCCATTTTCAAGTTTCCACTTTGCTTCCCTCTCCCCTGTACCTGTCACCACTTCCTGATTCCGGGAAGCTCGGGAAGAGCTTTCCCCAGCACTGTCCCTGCTCCCCCCGCTCCGAGTCTCCCTCTCAAGACCGCTCAGTTGCTTTGCTCTCAGGTGTAAATGGCCCTGACAAGCTGAGCCTTGAATACCCCTCGCAAGGGAGATGGCAGCACTTCTCTGGGCAATCTATTAACAGCCCAAACAGCCCACACACAGTTGTTTTCCACTGAATAAATTGGTCTCTTACCCAGACAGAATTTCCCCCGAAGCTGCTTGCTCCCCCGGCCTCTTGCTCCGCGCACCCTTGCAGAGAGGCCCGTCTCCTCCGCCCGCCCCTGCGGCTGCCTCCTGGCGAGGGGAGCCCTCCGATGAGGTTCTCCCCTCTGAGGCCTTCCCCTCTCCACGTTCAAAAAACACCAACTGACTTCTATCAGCTTAGCTTCATACGGCAAGTTCTCCAGCCCTCCAAACCATCTTGATGGCCTTTCACTAAAGCTTCTTCAACTTTTAAATGTCTCACATAAACTGGGGAGTGAGAGGTGCCAAAACTAGAAACAATAGATAGTTTTCTTTTCGATACCACCTTTATATTTGGCTTCTATTCTGAGATAAAAAGCTCCAAACCCACTCACTTCCATGATTTACAAAAGTTCCTTCTCAAAGGATGAGAAAAGTTACCATATACCAATTATTCAGTTAGCTTTAAATTTGAATTTCTAAATTAACTCCCACTTCCTGACCTGCTTCAGAAATAAACTTACTTTTTAATAATTATATAGATACTTGGACTTGTCAACTGCTACTTTAAGGCACTAATAATTATTATTACAACTAGGAAAATACACTGCTAGAAAGAAGCTGACTAGGTCTCTAAACTATAATGTATCAGCTTCTTTATAAAGCAATCTAAGCATTTAAATTAATGGTTTCATCATTTTAAAACAAATTATTAATTTTAACAAAATATACGCAGCAAAAATATTTTTGTTTTACAGACACAATGAAATTTTCTTCTAGAAAGTAGCAAAAGAAATCAAGGGCTTTAAAACAGTGTTTAGAAAAAAAGGAGGCAGGTCAAGTTTAATTTCACCTATGCTGTAAGAAATGATATGCTATAGAAGGTAAGAAAAACAACCAATTCCAAATTAATTTCTTAAAAATTATCTTTTTTCCTTAAAGTGGGCACAAAAATCTTAATATAGGAACTCTCTTGGTTAAGATGAGCTTTCTGCCTTTAACAAGAGAGATAAATCTTACTTTTGGGGACACTGCAATTCATTACTTCATTAATAAACCAAACTCTAGTTTACAAACTAATTGAATTGGACCATTAAAAATAAGGAGCTTTAATGATGCCTGCATGCATTTTTTAGAGCCAACGGTTATTTTTGATATTTAATCATATACAGTATAGTCTCTAGACCTGATTATTAGAAAAATAGAGAAAGAAAAAAAAATCTGTTCTCATTTACAATTTCTGATTTCCTTAATCAATTAGAAGCAACACTTAACATAAATTCTTAGCTAGTTTCTTCAGCCCAGTCAACACATCAGCATATCTATACTTGTAACATTAGTTTAATAATCAGGTATCTGTCTCTTTTAGGAAAACATTAGATGCCAATTGCTGCAACAAGAGTCATCAAAATGCAAGGATAAAACTTAAAACACTTAAGGTAAAGCTAAGACACTGAGAAAAGTACACTGGAGAACAATCTGATTTGACATTTCTTCCCAAGTCAATAAATCTCTATGGCAAAAATGAAAAGCATTAATTAAAAAGGAATTACAAGTTCAAAAAATTGAAGACAGGTCCTAAACAAAGGACTCATAGCAACTGCTTAACTCAGATGAAGGCGTGCTTAACTGCTCAATTCCAATCTTAGGTTGTGATTGCCTCCGCTCCACTCCCCCCCACCAAAAATGTATAAAGTTTGTACCTGGCTGGAAAAAGCTGTCCTCCATTAACGCAGCTGAATATGATAATTTCCTTCTTCAGATAAGATTTGAATACTGTAATTCGTGTGGGACATACAAAGCTTTACATAAAGTATCCTGTCATTGTGTTATCTCTCTACTTAAAAAAAAGAATTTGGGCAGGTATTTTTTGGTCAAATTAAACTTCTGAAATTCACATACAGAAATCCTACCATTTCATGTCTTTTAATAAACTCTCCTCACATAAATCTGAAATATTAATGAGAAAAGCTAATTTCACTGCTTGTCAGATACTCGAGTATGGAACCGAGATTACAGATTTCAGCATCGAAGTAGGAATTATGCAACAGGTTAAAAAGAAGGTAGACCGATTATGAAGGATTATAAATAAGCTGTTAATTTACCAATCTTTGTAATTGCATCTAAGTGAAAATACAGTGTTACCGTTGGGAAATTCACTGGTATAACAGAAAAGGTCTAGAACTTCAGATTTTTTTTTTAAATACTCATCATAGTCTTTATTAATATATATTTCATAAGTCTCTCCAAAAGAAGCAATTTACATGGTTTAAGTGACTAAAGAACAACATCCTCCACAGTATTAAACCAAGGTGACACTCATTGCAAAAGTTTTTGCCTCTGCTTTAAATGCAAATATGCATTACAAGCTAAGTTGTTTTTTTTTTCTTGCAAGTTAGTACTATGGTAGGAATCTTTCTTATTTTTCTTATCGAAAGTGTTAAAATAATGTGGATTGCCTCTCTGGCAAAATATTGTCTGCAATTCCTCCCATTCATTAACAAATTTACATTAAAAAAATGCATCTTTTCAGAAGTAATTTAAGAGTTCATCTCAAAGTAGCCATTGACCTTGATGACTCTTTAAATACACGCAAATTAAAAGCATAATTTAAGTCAAAACAATACAGAATAATCTATGTAAGAAAGTCAAACATTTTATTCATCTAGAATAGACAAAGCTATTACAACAG